TACGAGCTACGTTACTTTCTTTCTTTCTTCCTTTTTTTCTTTTTTCTTAAATATAACGCAAACATTCCGTTGTTATCTGTACAAATAATGGAAGATGTTCGGTCCGAGTACAAGTGTTTCTCGGCGAGGGAAGTGCGCGCTACACTTTTGCTCGTTTCGTTTGCAAAGGTGCAACCTCGCATTTATTAATGTCTTTCTGTGACGCGCTCGTGAGCGCGATTCCCCCGCGCGACACGTACGTGTGACGGAGCGCATACTTATCTTCCAGGTGGCGTCGCCGTTACTTTACCAGACCCAAACGCGAAATACTCCCATTGTTGTATCGGGCGACTCGCTCCCACACTCGTGTAGGGTCGGCAATGATATCGCGGCGTTCCTTCTTCCAACGCGATCCTGCCTCTCCCGCTTCCTCCCTTCCCCCCTCGTGCGAGTCGGTCGAAAGAGGCGAAGGTGGAGGCTAATCACCACGCAATCACCGCTCCCGGTGCGGCCAACTCCGACCCGTTCCGAGAAAGGCAGCAACCGCCTTTTGCCGCCCCGGGCCATTCACTACCGCCGTGTACCGCTCCATAGCAAAACCAACAATCTTCATCCTCGAGTCCGCGGAAAAAAAAGCCCCTCACTCTCTCTCTCTCTCTCCACCATCCACCCTCTTCTCCGCCTCTTTTCTCCAAATCACCGGAGGGCCGACCGATCGCTCTCCACTACTGGCATCCGGGGAATCCACTCCGCGAGAATGGCGCCGATTCCACTTTGAGAACCGATCGACGGACGCACCGAGCCAACCTACGTATTATAAACGGTCCCGGATCGTTCGAGCACGACATTGGCCGGAATGCGGATCGTCCACGTCCGGATTACCATCCTCGTTACAACTCGTCCATCGAGTTTCCCATCTCCGGGGATATAATATAATATCAATCCCGGACTTTCATCTCCGACCGCTCGCTCTCTCACCGCTTTTCTCGCCGCGAAATACGAATTGGATCGAATAAATTAATAATTCGCGAGAGGAAGGGGACGGGGATGGAGCGAGACGAAGACGAGAAATTAGAGATACGGTTGGGATCGTTAAAGGTATACGGGGTTGCACCTTTAACGTGCGGATCCGTACACCCACGCCACGATGCGTGAGTATATATATATATATATATACATATATATCTACGAGGATACGGTTGAAATGAACGGCGGAGAGGAATTCCGGGAGAAGAAGAGGAGGCGTGAGTTTACGATAAGATACACACGCGCGACTCGCTCCCTCCGCTCTGCTCGCAACGGGCTAATCGAATCGTGACTTATTGTCGAGCTAAGCCCATATTCGTATACGTGCAGAAGGTCACGTTCGTTAGAACTTTACGGTTCCCTTTTAACGTCGCGTCGCGTTCGCAAACTCTTTACAACTGCTATACAACTTTCAACGGTTTCCACGGATTGATAGCTCCCCGAGACGTGTTCTCGGTGTACATTGTGGGCTTATTTACTTGTCGTCACAATCTAATTGACCGTATTGAATGTTGACTAGATTGTGCGGTTGATTTCCGATTCGAGACGCGTGCTTCGCCACCTGGGACAGTGTTTCCCAACTCGCCCGTTCTCGAACGGGGTTGCAAACCGATCTTGTTCTCTCTCGTTATGATGCCCGTGTTGCACGCGTGAAAATCGTAGGGGCGAGCATTTTCCACGTTTATACGCGGCTGTTCGTCTCGAGAGAGGCGTCGCGAGAGAAAATCTCGAGCGTGTGGAAAAACGGTTTGGGAGACACTGCGCTAGGCGCTGGTAAGTGAAATATCGGCGTTAACGATTCAACCGATAATAAGAATACGTTGCGTAATCCGTGGAATCAGTTATCCTATCGTAGGTTTGATTTACGATCGAGAAAACGAAAGGGGGAGAGACGATTTGGATCAACGAATCGGTGATACGGATCGAAAAGTGAGAGAGCGAGATCTCTCGGGGTGAGAGATGATGCGCATCATCGAACGGCACACGTGTGCTCTCGTCGCTGACCAATGCGCTTAAGACGCGTGTTCGTTCACGCGTGACTGACGTGCGAATTGCACGAACGATCGTATCGAATCGGCCGTGACAGCTCGCGTCTGAACACACGCATCGTTTCGACGTACACGCACGCACGGGGCAATTAACGCCCGTTAATTACCCTCGTGGTGGTCCACGAGTTCTTTGTCGGCACATTTTATAAACCTGTCGATCCTGAATTCGCTTATCGCTTAGATAAATCGGGAGGGGGAAAGCATTCGTATAAATTTATAACTCGAGTTTCCACCACGCTTTTCCGGACCAATATGTATGTGTGTGTGTATACGTATATATATATGTATATATATGTGTGTGTGTGTATATACGTACGTTGCCTCGTCGATTATCCCGAATTTCCGATTGCCAGATCATCCGAAGGCTGTTTGGGTTTCGCGAGATAAATCAGATTTAATCGACACTTGGTTTCGCACACAGAATCCAGAAAGGATAACGAAGCTCGCGCGAAATATATTAACTGGCGGGGGTCTGGCCTCGTAAAAAAGTTAGGAAAGATCACCCCCGCACGCCTTCGGGGTGAAGTTCGGTTCGATACGGAATCGCGAAGGAAGTCGTAAGCTGGGACGTTTAATTGCGCAATAAATCCTGATTCTCCGATTTGCAACCCATTTCCTACTGCGGGGGCGACGATTGGTCGCTGTTAAATTGGCGCGTAGGTGCGATGGTAGGTACCTACTTACGTGTACCCGTGTATGCCGACTGTGAAAGTCGGAAGAGCCTCGATTCTCCCTCTCTTCCTCTCTTTTCTCGATTTCTCTACGTCGCACCCTCGGGCGTGAGACGACACGCGACCTTTCCGATCCCGCTATCCTCCTCCTTTCCTTTTTCCCTTTCTTTCTTCGCAACTACACATCGTACTTCCAATCGAAAGAGTGGATTTTTATTCACGGATGAAACGGACGTAGCGAATCGAGCGGAATCTAGCATCATCGATGCAATTGCTATTTACGTTCCGAGGTGTCGTATTTCAAAATCGAAGCGACACGCGATTTCATTAACGATGTACCGTGGTGGCTACTAGCGAACGACGAGGCGCGCGTTGCTTGAATTTAGATTGAAACCGACTCGCCGTCCCCGTTTATGCTCGTCCATTGTTTCACCGCGTTTTCCATTCCCTCCGTGACGAGACGATCCTTCCGATCGTAATCGAATTTCATCATCAACCTGGTCATCATCGTTTATCTTTATCGTGTAAAACGTGATCTGACGTTACCGATTTGGCCTCTGTTACAGATCCGGTGGGACAGACGATTACCTTCGCGTTCCTCGCATCGTTGCTGAGTTCAGGCCTGGACACGGTTTCGAGCGCACCCGCTTACGGCCCCCGCACCGCCGTATCCAACGCGAACAACATGGACCGCTGGTTGCAACCGTGCGGCAACCCGGTCGCGATGCAGTTCAAGAAGATGCCACAGAGACACAGCGTGCACAGAACGTTGAAAAGGGTGCGGACGCAGCTCCGCGTCGCCCAGAACCACTTCAGAAAGCACCTGGACGATGTGCACGAGATATACTCGAAGGTAAAGCGCGACGACGACCTTCCGCGATTCGTAATTAATCGCCGCTGAACCGTGTCCCGCCGGGGTAAAGGAGAGTGGGCGGCTCTCTTTCACAGAGACTCGCACGTGCGCAAAAAGGTCTATCCTACTTTCTGTTCTCTCCGTCATTTGCATTTGTTACGACGTTGCTGCACGCCACGCACCGCCGTAATTACACTTTTTCGACAAATATCTTCGACGCGCCTAACATCCTTGCAACAATCGGATTCGATTAACGCACGCTTGCGACTCGAACGTATTATCGTTATTCGGATGAAATGGATGATTTCAATCCGTTACGCTGCACACGCGTGTGATATTGGCAAATTATTTTCGCTATAACTTTGACATAGATGCGAGAAGAAATCTTTTCTTTTTTTTTTTTCCTTTTCTTAAATTCAGCTGTCTGATGCAAAAAGTTGATACGAAATTCGATTACGATAAAAAACGACGATTCCGCGCCCTTGACCGTTGAAACTGCTTCGTAAATTTCCAGGAAAAATGGACGCGATTCGAAGAAACGTGTCGAATTGTGTTAAAAAAATTATTTAGACGAAACAATATCTCAAGTTTCACTTGCAGGTGTACTCGTTGAAGGGGCAATACAGAATGCCTTGGCTCCCGGAGAAGGAGTTCGAGTGGTATTTCAGGGAGGTTTGGTGTCTCGAAAAGGGAAGAAAGCTGACCGCGCGCTTCCGCATCTTTACGATTCGCTGCAAAGGTTCGCCATCACGTTCCATCATCTCAGAACTTTCCGTCTGAAATCTAACATCAACGTTGACCTCACGATGGACAGGAGAAACGAGATTATCAATCAAATGCACAATGAGATTCTCAGGGTATGGAAAATTTATATATCCTATTCATATATTCTATCCATTCGGTTTAAAATATCGCGAAAAAAAATCGTATCTTTGCTCGATTTTGCACGTATCGATAGAGGAGAGAAGACACGGATCGAAATACGACAATTTGGCATCTCTCTGGTTTATAGGTGTTGTGCGAAGTGGAGACCGCAATTCTAAACTTAGGGTTACAAGTGCCGGCAGCGCATACGGCAAAAATAGTGACGGAAAGTTCAAATTGGGCAAAGGAGGCCGACTTGACTTCGATGTTGATCCAAGATTGGGGCGTGATAAGATTATATCAGGCGTTTCTGAAAGCTTGGACGAAAGCCTTCCGTGACGCGACCGCGCTTGGACCAGGGACTTGCGATCCTAATAGGCCGAATCCAGGAGCTAAGAACATTAACAAAGGATCTGGGCCAAAGGGTAAAAGGATATCGAAGATTAAGAAGCAAAAAAGGCCAGTTAGAAAGCATTCAGAGGGCGGTGGCCAGAATAGTTCCTTGCCTCAGGGACCAAAAAAGAGTATTCAGAGGAACAGACTGCTGAAAAACAAACAAAAGAAGCTCCCGGGAATGTGATGAAATTCACCTCATAAGGTTTCTTCTCTTTTTTACCGGATCTACTGATTATTTTAAAGGGACGGTTAACAGGCAACTTCTTCATTTTGCGTGTAAAACTCCTCTTTCTCTCTCTCTCTCTGTCTTCCTTTTTCTTCTCTCTTTATTATTACGACTGGAATATCTTTGTCGCGTTTCACTTTTCATATCATCATATTATATTATTAATTTAAAAAAAAAAAACATTTAACGATATCTAATGTGTTAATATTAAGAAACGCGTAATCTCTTAGTTCCTTTAGACACGTCGAGATTTATTCGTTCGTATTATTATTATTATTATTATTTTTTTCATTTTTTATAATTTCTTTATTTAAATTATTTGCGATCACGATCAAATTATTTTGCCTGTCAATCTTCCACGATCACGACGATGTATATTCTATACTCTTCGAATTTTCGTTCATCTTTCTTATTTATTTTG